ACCAGCCATGTGGTGGGTGGATGATAGAACATTTCCCAACAAGAATTACATCTGTGTGCCCCTCTGCAGGCCGCCTGTCCTCCCACTGCGTACTGTACATTCCACTGAGCGCCCTCCCGCCGCGTACTGCACAATCCACTGAGCGCCCTCCCGCCGCGTACTGCACAATTCACTGAGCGCCCTCCCGCCGCGTACTGCACAATCCACTGAGCGCCCTCCCGCCGCGTACTGTACAATCCACTGAGCGCCCTCCCGCCGCGTACTGCACAATCCACTGAGCGCCCTCCCGCCGCGTACTGTACAATTCACTGAGCGCCCCTCCCGCCGCGTACTGCACAATCCACTGAGCGCCCTCCCGCCGCGTACTGTACAATTCACTGAGCGCCCTCCCCCGCCGCGTACTGCACAATGCACTGAGCGCCCTCCCGCCGCGTACTGCACAATCCACTGAGCGCCCTCCCGCCGCGTACTGTACATTCCACTGAGCGCCCTCCCGCCGCCGCGTACTGCACAATTCACTGAGCGCCCTCCCGCGGCGTACTGTACACATTCCACTGAGCGCCCTCCTCGCCGCGTACTGTACAATTCACTGAGCGCCCTCCCGCCGCGCGTACTGTACAATTCACTGAGCGCCCTCCCGCCGCGTACTGTACAATTCACTGAGCGCTCTCCCGCCGCGTACTGTACAATTCACTGAGCGCCCTCCCGCCCCCCGCGTACTGTACATTCCACTGAGCGCCCTCCCGCCGCGTACTGTACACAATTCACTGAGCGCCCTCCCGCCGCGTACTGTACAATTCACTGAGCGCCCTCCCGCCGCGTACTGTACATTCCACTGAGCGCCCTCCCGCCGCGTACTGTACATTCCACTGAGCGCCCTCCCGCCGCGTACTGTACAATTCACTGAGCGCCCTCTCCCGCCGCGTACTGTACATTCACACTGAGCGCCCTCCCGCCCGCGTACTGTACAATTCACTGAGCGCCCTCCCGCCGCGTACTGTACAATTCACTGAGCGCCTCCCGCCGCGTACTGTACATTCCACTGAGCGCCCTCCCGCCGCGTACTGTACAATTCACTTTGCGCCCTCCCGCCGCGTACTGTACAATTCACTGAGCGCCCTCCCGCCGCGTACTGTACATTCCACTGAGCGCCCTCCCCGCCGCGTACTGTACAATTCACTGAGCGCCCTCCCGCCGCGTACTGTACAATTCACTGAGCGCCCTCCCGCCGCGTACTGTACAATTCACTGAGCGCCCTCCCGCCGCGTACTGTACATTCCACTGAGCGCCCTCCCGCCGCGTACTCTACAATTCACTGAGCGCCCTCCCGCCGCGTACTGTACAATTCACTGAGCGCCCTCCCGCCGCGTACTGTACAATTCACTGAGCGCCCTCCCGCCGCGTACTGTACAATCCACTGAGCGCCCTCCCGCCGCGTACTGTACAATTCACTGAGCGCCCTCCCGCCGCGTACTGTACATTTCGCTGAGCGCCCTCCCGCCGCGTACTGTACAATTCACTGAGCGCCCTCCCGCCGCGTACTGTACAATTCACTGAGCGCCCTCCCCCGCCGCGTACTGTACAATTCACTGAGCGCCCTCCCGCCGCGTACTGTACATTCCACTGAGCGCCCTCCCCGCCGCGTACTGTACAATTCACTGAGCGCCCTCCCGCCGCGTACTGTACATTCCGCTGAGCGCCCTCCCGCCGCGTACTGTACATTCCGCTGAGCGCCCTCCCGCCGCGTACTGTACATTCCGCTGAGCGCCCTCCCGCCGCGTACTGTACATTCCGCTGAGCGCCCTCCCGCCGCGTACTGTACATTCCGCTGAGCGCCCTCTCCGCCGCGCGTACTGTACATTCCGCTGAGCGCCCTCCCGCTGCTTACTGTACATTCCGCTGAGCGCCCTCCCGCTGCGTACTGTACATTCCGCTGAGCGCCCTCCCGCCGCTTACTGTACATTCCGCTGAGCGCTCTCCTGCTGCGTACTGTACATTCCACTGAGAGCTCTCCCACTGCGTAATGTACATTTCCCTCCCACTGCATACTGCTGACTGACTTCCCTCCCACTACATGCCGCTCACGGACCTCCCTCCCTCCCACTGCATACCGCTCACCGACCTCCGTCCCTCCCACTGCATACCGCTCACCGACCTCCGTCCCTCCCACTGCATACCGCTCACTGACCTCCGTCCCTCCCAATGCATACCGCTCACCGACCTCCGTCCCTCCCACTGCATACCGCTCACCGACCCCTTCCTCCCTCCCACTGCATACCGCTCACCGACCTCCGTCCCTCCCACTGCATACCGCTCACCGACCTCCGTCCCTCCCACTGCATACCGCTCACTGACCTCCGTATCTCCCACTGCATACCGCTCACCGACCTCCCTCCCTCCCTCCCATTGCATAACACTCACCTCCCTCCCACTGCATACTGCTCACTGACCTCCCTCCCATTGCATACCGCTCACCTCCTCCCTCCCTCCCACTGCATACTGCTCACTGACCTCCCTCCCACTGCATACCGCTCACCTCCCTCCCTCCCTCCCTCCCACTGCATATCGCTCACCGACCTCCCTCCCTCCCACTGCATATCGCTCACCGATCTCCCTTGGTTCGCATGAACTGGGATGCGAGTCTGAATTTTTTGGTAAAAAAAAGTCCAAAAACGCTGGTTTGCCGCGATTTAGAAGCCCACTAGTTCTGGAGAATTTTTTCCAGCCAAAAAGCACACCTGCCAAAAAACATTGATTACAGTCTGTGTGTATGGACACATAGGATAACATGCTGGGGGGTTTACTGGCTGTAGAAAAAAAACATCAACAGCCAAAAACAGCCGCTGTAAAAACATCCAGTGTGCATGAGGACGAAATTGTTAGCTGGAGTTTGGCTTCAATGTGTTATTGTGTTCAAATCTGCAAATACATTTAAACCCCCCCCCCCCCCCCCCCCTTCCCATAGACTGACAATGCTGCTGTCTGCTGTGTCCCTTGTGCTCATTCATCCAAAGTGGTATCTCACTAACACCGAAAGTGTGATACTGGCCAGATCACCAAGTGAAAACAGAGGGAAAAAAAGCCAAATAAAAGAAAACAAATGCAGCCACCACATCTAATGATTGGTAAACTGCAATAAAATGTTTTTTGGTTTAATACCGTTTTAACCACCAAGAGTGTTAGAGTAAACCATTCACACAAATCTCTTTATTATCAAATTCTTGCTGTAATAGGCCAGTATAAAGGAAACCTAGGGATGGAAAAAGCACTTGTGGGTTAAGCCCTGGTTCACACTGGATGCGACTTGGCATGCCAAGTTGCACCCTATTGTCCGCAATTAGAGCGGTCATATCGGTGCGGTTCCGACTTGTTCAGAGCCGCACCGATTTCAAAAGTAGTACATGCACTACTTTTGGTGCGATTTGCATAGACATCTGTATCAGATGACTTGCATATCGCACCTGAAATCCGCGGATCCTCCGACATTGAAATCGTGCGACTTCACTGTAATTTCAAAGTCGGGCTTGATGTGAACAGAGGGTTAGTCATTTTTGCCCTATTACCCTCCGTTCACATCAAACCCGATTTGGAAATCGTGCGACTTACAGTGAAGTCGCACGATTTCAAAGTAGGGCGACCCGCCAATTCCAAGGTGCGATTTGCAAGACATCTGATACAGATGTCTATGCAAATCGCACCAAAAGTAGTGCACTACTTTAGAAATTGGTGCTGTTCTGACCAAGTTGGAACCGCACCAATATGACCGCTGTAATTGCGGACAAATAGGGTGAGACTTGGCATGCGATTTGCAGGTTGCAGGGCATGCAAATTGCATGCCAAGCCACATCCAGTGTGAACCAGTGATTAATTAGAGATGTATGTCCTTTGCCTACACACATTGGGGCTGATTCACTAAGGCTACGTTCACACTAGCTTGTTTTTTTTTTACCGCTTCCCAAACGCCTCTGCCAACTCTGCACATTACAGCACATGGTGCTGTTCTAACAGGAGCGTTTTTCGCGTCGTTGCGTGCGGCAAAACGGACGCCTCTGGTCGAGTCAGGAGGCTTTGAAGCCTCCTATTCTCGTCTAATGGTGCCGCTCCGCAAACGCCCGGCCGGCGTTTGCGGTTTTGCGACGCGGTTGCGGGGCGTTTGCGGAGCGGTAACACCACTCAAATGCATTATAGGCGTTTGTTTATTAACGCTCGGCAAATGCTAGCAACCGCCGCTAAACCGCGCATGCGGCGTTTGCGGAATTTCGCTCCGCATCACCGGACCAACGCTGCCAAACGCTATAGGGGCGTTTAAAACAGCCTAGTTAACGAGCCCTTAAAACTGTTTTTTTTGCAGAGCTGCACCAATTTTTCTCCATTATGGAGATTACTGGCAGAAGGAAAAAAAATGCAATGCGCACCAAGCATGTTTTTAGTTGCAAATGCTAATACATGACAATTTCTCATCAACATGCCATGGGTTTATTTACTAAAACTGGAGAGTGCAAAATCTGGTGCAGCTGTGCATAGTCAGTTTCCAGGTTTTATTGTCAAAGCTGAAGCTAGAAGCTGATTGGCTACAATGCAGAGCTGCACCAGATTTTGCACTCTCCAGTTTTAGTAACTCAACCCCCATTGTGTTAAAGTGTGGCCCTATTTCACAGAATATTTCCCTTTCTGCGGCCAATTTCGAATAACACTTTATATTTGTCACATACCCCAGTTAACAGCTTAACCAGTTGCCGACCGCAGATAGCCGAATGACGGCTAAACTGCGGCCGGCCAGTTCTGAGTGGACGTCATATGACGTCCCCCTAGAACGCGCTCTCCTGCGGTAAAATGCCGATCATACCGGCCTTTTACCACGTGATCAGCGGTGTCCAATGACACGCTGATCACAGGGAAATGCAAGTGCCGGTTCTCGGCTGCACTTTCCTCACGCTGTCAGATCGTGAGGAAAGTACTGCCGAGAACCGGCAGTTGTCAGAGCGAGAATCGGCACTGATCATCAGGGCCACTGATGATCAGTGTCCTGATGATCGGTGCCCAGCAGTGCCACCCACAAGTTCCGCCCACCTGTGCCCAGCAGTGCGCCCACTAGCTCCGCCCACCTGTGCCCAGCAGTGCACCCACCTGTGCCACTCTGCAGTGTCACACACCTGTGCCCAGAAGTGCCACCTACCTGTGCCCAGCAGTGCCACCCACCTGTGCCCACCCACCTGTGCCCACCAGTGCCACCCACCTGTGCCCACCAGTGCCACCCACCTGTGCCCGCCCACCAGTGCTGCCCACCAGTGCCACCCACCAGTGCAGCCCAGCAGTGCTGCCAGTCAGCGGTGCCAGTCAGTGCCAGTCAGTCAGTGCCAAGCAGTGATGCCAGTCAGTGCCATCTATCAGTACCCATCATCAGTGTCACCTATCAGTGCCGCCTATCAGTGCTGCATATTAGTGCCGCCTATCCGTGACACCTCATTAGTGCTGCCTATCAGTGCCGCCTATCCGTGCCACCTCATTAGTACTGCCTATCAGTGCCCTTTAGTGCTGCCTATCAGTGCCCATCAGTGCTGCCTATCAGTGCCCATCAGTGCTGCCTCATCAACGCACATCAGTGAAGGAGAAAAAATACCTGTTTGAAAAATTTTATAAAAGAAACAAATAAACTTTTTTTTTTTTTCAAATTTTTTTGCAATTTTTTTATTTATATAGCGCAAAAAGTAAAGCGCCCAGTGGCAATTAAATACCACCAAAAGAAAGCTCTATTTGTGAGAAAAAAATGATCAAAATTTCATATGGGTACAATGTTGCATGACCGCGCAATTGTCAATCAAAGTGCGGCAGCGCTGAAAGCTGAAAATTGGCCTGGTAAGGAAGGGGGTATAAGTGCCTGGTAGGCAAGTGGTTAAGGACCACCCTATAGCAAATATACTGCTACAGGACGCACCTGTGCGCAGGATCACGTATATATACATCATTCTGCATTTCTGGGTAGGGGGCGCGTGGGCCTCTTTTGCGCCCTACCCACGCTGGCACTGTGGAGCACCGTGGTAGTTCATTGAAGCTTCATGTCAGAATATCTGTTTGCCTGTACATCACGAATGGCAAGCAGATATTCCGACAGGTCTGCAGGAGACCTGCATGGTATCAATGATCTACTGATCGCTGGTGCAATTCTTTCCAGGCTTCTTTTGGACAAAAATAATAAATGCACATTTTTTTACCTGCAAAAAAATGTGCATTTATTATTGTTATCCAAAAGGGGAACTTATCCTTTAACCACCTTCCACCCGCCATATAGTACAATGACAACGATCGCCGGTGTGCTGTGTCCCTCGGACACAGCGGATCACGGAAAGAGCCGAAGATGTTGGCTCGGTCATGCGATCAGCTGTGTCCAATCACAGCTGGTCACATGTAAACACGGAAATGCCGGTTATTAGCATTTCTCTCCTCTCGAGCTGTCACGCTGACAGCTCGAGAGGAGAGGAGAGCCGGTAATCGGCTTTCCACAGAGGGGACATGTACACTGATCATCAGGGCACTGATGATCAATGTGGCCCCAGAAGTGCCACCTGTCAGTGTCCATCAGTGCCACGTGGCAGTGCCCATCAGTGCCACATCAATGCCACATACCAGTGCACATCAATGCCACATATCAGTGCCCATCTAAGCTGCCTTTCAATGTCACCCATCAGTGCCAGTCAGTGCCACCTATCAATGCCAATCAGTGCCACCTATCAGTGCCACCTATCAGTGCCAGTCAGTGCCACCTATCAGTGCGCATCAGTGCCACCTATCAGTGGCAGTCAGTGCTGCCTATCATTGCCAGTCAGTGCCACCTATCATTGCCAGTCAGTGCCGCCTAACAGTGCCAGTCAGTGCTGCCTAACAGTGCCAGTCAGCGCGCCTAACAGTGCCAGTGTCATGTATCAGTGATGCCTGTCAATGCCCATCAGTGCAACCTACTAGTGCCTCCTCATCAGTGCCCATCAGTGCCACCTATCAGTGTCCATCAGTGCAGCCTATCAGTGCCCATCACTGCAGCCTCAGTAGCGCACATCAGTGAAGGAGAAAAATCACTTATTTACAAAATTGTATAACAAAAACTAAGAAAAAACTTTTTTTTCTAAATTTTCAGTGGTTTTTGGTTTGTTTAAAAAAATAAAAATCCCAGAGGTGATTGAATACCACCAAAAGAAAGCTCTATCTGTCTCAAAAAAATGATAAAAAGTTCATATGGGTACAGTGTTGCATGACCACGCAATTGTCATTCAAAGTGTGACAGCGCTGAAAGCTGGAAATTGGCCAGGGCAGGAAGAGGGTATAAGTGCCCTGTAGGCAACTGGTTAAAGGTGTAGAGACTGGGCTTCTTGTCCAATGTGGAAAGACATAGGAAAGACTCACTATGACATTGTTCAAAGCAATCTTGAGCTCCCTGTGGCTGCGTGGGTTTCCTCCATGTACTCCGGTTGTCACGGTTCACTAACACGCACGCGCCCACAGCGACTAGCTAACCGAGGCGCGCACGTGCGGCCGTGACTTGGGGTAAGAGGGATTACGGGGGACTTAACTTCTAATATATAAAGTATATAAGACCGGCTCTGATACACTTTCACAGCCCTCACTACCTCTTGGCCACCACTGGAGGGAGACTCCACTCCAATCCAGCCGGCCGACCACACACTGGCAGATATAAACCTTACATACAATCTGATGCACTAACTAGGGTTGAGGAGCAGCCTAGCAATCACACACACCCTTCTAGGATTCCTCCAGCTATCCTACAAGCCAGCACCCCCGGTGTTATTCACTCTTCCACTGTCCACACACCCCCACACCAACCACAAACGGTAGCTTGCCACCACCCAACAGTTTATCCACAGAACGGTCTGTTGGGACACCACACACACACAGATCTCCGTCTGGCAGATCTGCTACCTTTACAATCTGCATGCAATCTGCCAACATGCAGTGCAATTGCATACAGATAGGCAATGAACTTGACCGAGCAGTTAAAGACACTAAAATACAATACAATCTAATCTCTCCGGAGATATGAGCCCGAGCTTAAGTACCCAGAAGTTACTTATTCTATTTAAGATTTAATATCCCGAAAGTGGGCAGTGCATAAAATATGTACAATGTATAAAAGTTACAGAAAATATAAAAAATACAAGAAGACACACAATTGACTATTCTCTATAAAATAAAAGGGAATAAAAAACAGAAATAAAACTTTTACCAAGATTTATCCTGCGAATGGAGCAAGTCAGGAAAAGTCAGCAATCCGTTAGTCGATCGAACTAGCTCCATACGAATCACAATGTCCATACCTCGGGTCCTCAATTTATGGGAATATGGACGTGGGCTGGACATGAGTCCTTGGCCAATTGACTCTGGGGTGTGTTCCTGTACCTGCCCACAGGATGTTCTGGGTCCTGAAATGCCCAAAGTCGATTGGACCAGGAACGGTTTGAATCACCAAGTCAGGTATTGAATTTCCGACACCAGCGCATCAGTCCGATCGCGACAGTACCAATCACTGTTCAGCTATCGCGATCCGGCGCCACATAACCATTTCCTGCATTTTTCTGCCATTCTGCATAGGCCAGTTTTTTCATGCAGATGTAGCCTACAGAGTGTCCAATCAGAGGGAAGTATTTTCATCTCTCTGCAACTAATATTTTAGCTTTTATGAGAGATGAAACATATTCCTTTGACCTATGTATATACGTCAAAGCTCCCCAGACAGATTGGAGCCCCCCTGGTCATCTGCAGCAGAACTGTCTCCAGCCATTTCCTTCCAGGTTTCCCCGAAGGTGACAAATCTTATTGGCACTTAGGTGTCACTTCCAGCCTGAGGAAGCTGCTCTGTCTTTTCAGATGCTAATGGGGGAGCACTTGTCTCTGAATACCTATAACTGACTATATGACTGAATACATCTTTAATAACAAGGAATTAAACTAAATTTACGATTACATATTGCTACAGGTCACATCTTATCTACTCAAATCTATACATTTATGTCACACTGGTTTCCTCCAGCACTCCAAAGACATGCTGGTAGAGTAATTGCCTCCTGTCTAAATTGGCCCTAGTATGGGTATGTATGAATGTGAGTTAGGAACTTTAGGTTGTACGCCACTTGAGGGTTAGGGACTGATGTGAATGTACAATATATATGTAAAGCGCTGCGTAAATTGACAGCTCTAGACAAGTACCTGAAATAAATAAATAAATCTTGCAGACAGCCATGACACCATCTCCTTAGAAACATCTAAAAGGTAAGAACTATTGAAAAGGAAAATGGTAGTCATGCTGTGTGAATGGGAACATATATCAATCATATAGTGGGGGGTTCTCAAATTTGACTGCATAAGTGGAAATACATTTTCATAATTAAATGTTGTACAAAATCTTTCTGGTATTACAAACACAATGACATTTCTAAGCTGACATACAATGAATTTGAGAAAATTGCCAAGGTACAGCCAGACCTGTTATGGTAGGGTCAGCTAAAAGGAATCAAGAAGTCCCTCTGCTTGATTAGCAACATAGTGGTGCCTTCTTAAAACAGAAGATACTTCCATGTCTCGCTTCCATCACAGATCCATAAATTAACGGGTTTATTCCTCACTTTAGGAACCACACCTGGAACCACTGGTTTACACACTGTTCAGATACAGCCAATATACGGTAGATCCATATATTACAAACTGCAATAATTGCTAAATCGCTTTATATCATTTCCAACACTAGATGGCACCCATGGACTATGGAACTTTTATTGTCATTTTTTGTTTTTTTTTTTTTTTTTTTTCTCCAGCTAATCTTTGCATGATTATTCTGCTTCATACAACATTATTCTCAATTTTGCAAAATTCTATTTACAAGCTGGTCACACATCTTCCTAATTATGGTCATTTCGTCATATGACATAACAACAGGTGCTGTTCTATCTGTTCTATATTAATATAATTACCCAAATAATTATGTTAATGATTTTTTTTATAAATACAATGCTTCGACACTCAGAGTGAAAAGAGATAATTGGGTATGTATCAGTGGCCCTTATAGTAGACAATCATGTTTTATTATCATCGCATTTAGGACACATTCCCTAGAAACAAATTAGATGTTTGGGTGGCAGAACAGAACATCCAGTTCTAATGCTGAACAACTACTTAAAACTGTCTGCA